CTCCTAACTTGTGTTCCAGTGGGTGGTGGGAGTCAAAACGCAAATATTGGTCTGTGTGGGTGGGAGCTGTCTGTGTCCGAGTTAACATAGGCAAAATGATTTATGTTCCTGGTGTCACTCAAGACCCACCGATCGTTGGTTCCGATCTAGAAAGCCTTGATTTGAGAAAATCGATCGCTTTGATTCTGCCGAAGGAAAGCAGCCATGAGACACGCTCCAGTTCCTCCTGGAGGATCCCAAGGTGTTCACAAGCCACCAGGAAGTTCTGGATCTGCCCTGAGGTCTCCTCCCAGAAGGATGTAAACAGGAACCTTTTGGCTCAGCTCCTCAGCCTGTGGGTCCATTTCTCCCTGTCACCCAAGAGCAAGGCCGGACCATGGTATAGGCAGTAGAGGCAAACGCTAAGGGTGGTGTCCATCTAAGGGGCACCACAAATGGTTGACGAAAATAAGTYTTTTGTAACTTTTTTATCAGAGTTTAGTTGATTTAATCTGTAGAATAATCACTGGTTCCTCAGGTTTTTGAAGGTAACTTGTTGTGTGTTTCTCAGCTGCTTTGTTCTTACACGAGGTGTTATGAAGTGGTCAAGACTAACTACTGGAGCTCAGTGTGAAAACAGAAAACTAAATAAAGAGAATGCAAGTTTATCTCTTATTGTTATCAGCACCATTTTATGTAGAAGATACTCTTACTGGATACTCTTATTGTTTCCAGTATGCACAAGGAACACCATCTGAAGTTTTTCTCAGGGCACCAAATTGATTAGAGCTGGCCCTGCCTGTGAGCTCCCAGTGCTCAAACTCAGAAACCCAAAGAACCACGGACCTGCCGGCTCAGAGAGGCTGTCCTTCATCTCAGCTGCTTCACACTCCTCTGCTGACCGGATGAGGTGTCATTACAGGAACAGAAATCACTAAAATCAGTTAATTGTTGAAACATTTAATGATCTTTTCTTCACAGGTTCAAAAAGTGAACCAGTGTCATCATTTACCCAATTGTTTTGTTCTAATCTGGAGTCGATAAAGATTTCAAAGTTTCTGTAAGAGCTTGCATCAAAGATAAACAACTTTCCTGTGACCTCAAACTTTTGTATTAAATATGATTGCATTTTTAGAAAAATAACGTTAAAAACACATTGCAAAATAAATGTCTCGCCAATGAGATGAACAGTTGAGATATTCGCATGTTGAAGTAACAGGAAGTGATGTCAAAGGGGAATGTCTGAATATGAACAGAGCTTTGCAGCAACCGCTGTCGACAAGACTCTGATGTTTCTTTAGATGATTTTGAGCCACTATCAGAGTGAGCTGTTGAAAAGTCAGAGTTTAAATAAGATTGTTTCAATAAAAACACACCAGGGAGTTAATTTTCTTTAATTGCTCCCCTTTGATGTCACTTCCTGTTTCACTTTTGTCAAACCAACTTCAAAAGAAAATGATAATGTGCCAACTTTCTTAAACATAAAGAGGTTTTCTTTGACTATGATACAACACGTCACAGACATTAATAAGCTTTTATTAGTTGCATTAAAAATTTACAATATTGACAATAAATAAAAGTTGTCAAAATGCATTCATATAAATAAATTAATAAATGATTTTTTGCAGGGGGTTGAATAAAACACTAAATTAAAGATTTTGTTTTGTGCACCAGAAGTTTTGACAGCAAGAAAAAAGAAACAGTTCATAATCTGATCAGTTCTTAATACTTAATACTTTTCCCCCACACATTAGAGAAACTCGTTGTTTGAAACACTGAGGCATTATTTCTGAACATCTGCAGCAGATCTTTTTGTTGCTCCTCACAGTCCTGCAGTCCGACCCGAGTACCTCAGAGTGTTTCAGAAGAAGAAGAAGAAAAAAAAAAAGTCTGACCTCAATAGAAAAGAATGCAGTGTGGTCTCTCGACTGTTCTCCCTCCCCTAAAACATTCAGCGCGGCTAGAAATGACTCCACTTAAAACAGAGTTTAGCAGAGGGCCGTGTGTTCGGCTCGAGACGTTTAAAGGCCACAACGACTTCCTCCTCCCTGATTTTCACCTCCCTTTCAGTCAATCTGTGTAAAGTTGCCACGTTAAATTCTCTCCCTCCTCTTGTCGGATCGTTCTCACCGTGAAGCGAGTTCTGCAGGACTGAAACGTCTTGCTGACAGATGTGTGTAAACAAAAAAATGTTTAGGAGCTGTCAGACATTTTAGCTGTTTTCAGACCTCAGAGAGTTTTACAGAATTTTATCTCTGTCAGTAAAATAAACGTGTTTTTATTGGTCACACAAAATGAAGCAGTTTTCATTGCAAAACTGGAACTAAAAGATAAAATAAAAAAAGCTAAAAACTACAGCTAAAGCACTAAAATTATAGCTAAAACTTGGTTTTAACTAAATTATAGGAAGAAGCTAATCCTACTAACAAGGCTAAATGCTAAAAAACTACCAGAATAGTAGGCAAAAGTAGTAGCTTAAGCTAAAACCAGCAAATGAGGAGTTAAAAGTGAAAAATAAGCAAAACTGCATCTGCTAAGATTGTTAAAACCACAACTAAAAGATTGCAGTATTGCAATGGCAGCTTAAAGCTAAACTTAACAAAAATGTAGCTAAAAGRWATWTGAGACAAATAAAAGGTAKGAATCATAACTAAAAGCTAAAACAAGCAAATGAGAAGCTCAAAGTTCAAATAAGCAAAACTGTAACAAAGGCTTAATAAAAACACTAAAAACTGAATTAAAATCCTAAAAACCAAACCCTAACATTTATACAGTTTAGCTAAAAGCGTGTCTAAACAAAACTGTAGCAAAATGCTTCAGCCACCAATAGCTAAAAGCTAAAACCAGCAAATAAGAAACTAAAACATATATATGTATATGGCTAAAAATAAAATGAATGAAATCTAAAATGAAACTGTAACATGAGTGAAATATATTTTAAAAGCTAACACTGGAAAACCATAGCTAAAAGCCAAACGCGTCAAGAAGAGCCGTCCTTCTGGCAGCCAGATGTTCAGAAACCATCTCTGCAGCTGCAGGAGGAGGAGCTCAGACTGATTCTTTCCTCCTGTTTCACCATGAAAATAAACAGCTTATAGATGTTGGAAAAAAAAAGAGAATTAGACAAATAAAGCAGTAATAAAGCTGTTATGACAACTGTAATAACCTCTGTAATAACAAGCTGCCGAGCTCTGACTCGTCTGCTGAACACAAACTCTCAGAAACACGTCCTGCTGAAGTGCTTCACAGCAGAGGACTTTAAACACAGCTCTACAAAAGTGTTCGTATACAATGATTATTATATATTAGAATAATTTGATTCAGTTCTATGAACAGTTTGTGTTTCTTACATGTGAACAATCATGTTTTTCTGATGTTGTGTTGAGTTTTCAGGCAGGTTTCTGACAAATCCAACATGGCTGCCTTGTGTATTGTGTAAATTGTATTGTGTAAATTCAAATACTAATAAACAACATATTTATCAGTTTGTGCCGCCCAACTACAACAATTCACATTGATYTATTTTACGCTCCAGGATGCTACGTTTCCTGACTAACTTTATCTTTATTTTTTATCCAATAGATTAAACTCCAACGCCACAGTCTGCAGGGGGAAAAAGCAGTAAACCGTTTACTTATGATGTGTGAGTCAAAAATGAGCGGAGTGGGCAGTGAGTGAACATTACAGAGTCCCGAGCTCCTGACTCGACTCTCAATAAACTTTCATCCTAAAATAAAAGCTAAATTAGAGGGTTGGAGCAAAGGGAGAGAGACAGAGAGAAAACGGGCCTATGGGCACGGTTGTTGGCCTCACACACTCAGCTGCTGCCGACGTTTCTTTCCTGRCTCCTATTATTTTTGGTCCTCTGCCTGGAAGAGTCACAGAGAGCAAGTGGAGAAGAGGAGAAGAGGGAGACGATGACAGGGGGCAGYGAAAAGAGGAGGGAGAGAGGACAAAGGTGGCAGAAAAACTCACAAAACAGCACTCTCCTTTTCACCTGCTGCTGAGGGCAAAACGACACAACTGTTGTGTTAGCAAAATYTCTCATGAAGGAAATTCTGAGGAAGATGGTCAACACAGCTCAGTGACTTTAAAAGAACACAAAAATAACTAAATAATAATACATTTTTAAGGTTTTTAACAAAAAATTTATTGTTACAAGATGACCCTGTGATCTGCATTCCTTCGAGGAATGGTAGCTAGCTAGCGTATAGCTTTAGCTGAAAGAAGTAGCAGTCAAAAGAGACATATCCTGCTTTTAAATCCTTCTTTTTCACATTTAAATCCTTAGTTGGGGTCTATATAAAGTGGAACTGCAATGCTTTGGTCTGAATTTATCCTTATTGTAACTCCACAAGCCCCTCTTTTTTGGCACGGAATGAAGGCCAAAATTAAAGTGTATCTTACCCCCCTGTGAAAATATAACTCCGCCCCAAGGCGAAATTTGAAAAATGCATCAAAGTGGGTAGGGGAGGGGTGCGTGTGTGTGTGTGGGGGGGGTTAGAGAGCGAAGGTGTGGCCAGGATGAGAGAACGTGACAGGCAGTTAGCATTAGCATAATTGATGCTACATGGAGAGTGACCACAGTATCGCAGATAGTTACATCTCTGAACATCTGAGGTGGAGGATTTTCACCCCACACCAGCCTCGGACAGAGGAGGAGGAGCGCTTCGACAGCCTGACAGAAAAAAAGCATAAAAAGCATACAGCTGCAGCTGCTTAAAGATCGCTAGTTTAAATCAGGAATAAAAGT